AAGTGAGGAAAGGGAGGCTGAAATAGAGGATTCTCATACTGTACGCCTTAGCGGAGGGAGGGGAGGGGCAGGGACTTTTGCTGGTTTTGTTAATTTTCCTCACTTTGGTGAGACCTGTGAACTTCTGTAAAGCTACGAAAAATCGCGAAAAAAGGTATCTCTCTCTTGGTCTGCATTACTGAGAATAACAGGGGCCATACCAGTAACTTCTAGGGGAGGGAAAGTGAAAGGCAAGGAACACCACGAGAATTTAGCAAATTCTCCCTTTACTTTTCTTTTTTAAAACTTATCTTCTATATGATTCCCCCTACTATTCCTACCTACAACGCCGCGCTCGAAAAAAGGCTTGTAGAGACAGGAGAAACGGGCGCGGAGCAAAGAAAAAAAATCGTTGTCAGACCAAATAAAGCTGCCCTCCCCAGTGATCGCCCCCTCCCCCGAGCCGATTCCACTACTTCACTGGGGTAAGATATTTATAGCACACGTTTCCCCGCCGCTCCGTTAGAAAATGTGAGCGTGGGGTGGTTATTTTCACAGATCATGTTTATTTGAAATCCTTTAAGCTATTCTTAAATACTGCTGTGCCTCTCGAGGTTTTTAGGTGGAATCTTAATCTAATGTTCTAAACGTGTTTCGATTTAAGGAGATGAACACTACCCCATCAAGCGCCCAACCAACCCTAGCAGTCTTTCAGAAAGCTATGCTTGAAGCATTCCGATGTTCCTTTTGAGAAACTTCCATACAACTCTAACCGCAGTCCTACCGTCACCTCACCTGTTCGGCATGCCAGCTTTCCTCATCTTTCAACACCTTCACGGCCACATCTACAACACGATCGCCACTTCGGTAAACGGCGCTGAAGACATCGCCAAATCGACCGCTGGCAACGTGCTGAAAGTTATCCATTTAATAACATTACATGAAGCCTAGATTTGATTTTAGATTTTGAAAGCCTTCTTTCGGGGAATTTCGAAGTGAGCGTTCATTGAACACACGAGTGACAGACTATCTCCGAAGAAATTCGTAACCCTTCAGGCCCAGTTTTTTCTTGTGAATGGCATAATCATAATTATTTGGAACTAATAAAAATGAACGGACAGAAACTAAACATTACCTTCAAATCAGTAATTTCAAAGGTGGGACGTGTAGCGGCACAGTTCAAAAGAGCGTACGTCTCGCTTTGCTGAGAAACTGTGACTGTCTGAAAAACCTGACGTAATTCTCTATCTTAGAAAGGGAAAAGCGGGCCACTAGTTGGATGAGGCCAATTTTGGGAACCCTTGTCTTACATGGATTTCATCAAGGTACTCTAGCATGTTCTGTAAGGAATCTGAGTAAACCGTATTCTTACTCTCATCGCACTCGCTTCACTACCACATACTCTTTGTTGTGATGGAGCGAACCTAAAGTCACGCTCCAGCTTCAACAATAGTGAGATATGCGGCTCAAATACTAGTGATAAGATGACAATCAATAAAAAGGTAAACAAGCACTAAAAACCAGTCGGAATTGCCCCATATGGAATCCCAGGCTAAACCGCGCTCATACGTGCATAACGCGGAGGGGTGGGGTTGGACGAGTTTTCACTTGTTAGGATCAGCTCCCTCTCCTCATCACCCCACTCTCGTCATTCGAAATGGAGAGAGTTACAAGCAGAACGATCGCACATTGGGTAGCAATACAGAAACGAAGTGGGCGTTGCCATGACCAGTGGGCGGTGCCCCTGTCTTGCGCGATCGGTTTGCGCCTTCTTCACGTATTTTCGATCCACAAAAGTAGTACATCTTCGACGCCTGCGACAGAGCTACCACGTAAAAGAAGGCGACCGGCAACAAATGAAGGCAGAACACAAATGAATGCCTTAAAGTTTAGGCGAGAGCGAAACTACTACATTATTTTACGAGCAACCGTCTTGGTGACTCATATGCGACATGGATTCCTGTTTCAAGATAAATCAAAGCTGTGTTTTTGAAAAAAAAATCGCGAAGTACCATAGCCATGGCCAGCACACGAAGCTTTCATTGTTCTCTTTTTAGAGTACTGAATATCATCACCTAGCGAGTCTCCTAAGCCGAAACCGTTCCCTGAGCATTCTCTAAAAAAGCTCTCGCTGGGTAACTCAGTCGGCGCACGCTGTTTCTCGCTAGCTCTGACTTACCTGAGTCTTAGCTTTATCGCGACTCTGCCAGCACCATCGATAGACCACAGAGAAGACCAGCAGACAGCCAACTACACATATGGCGATAAGACCGAATAGCGTCACAAACCACATGTTGTCAACCCAACGTGACATCGGACCAGTTTTAGCGGTCCCTGAAATTTTCAGCTATAAAGACAGGATGCGGTGCCAGTGAGTATGAGGAAATACTTTACTTTGCCGTAAGAGTGTAAAACTACGGGAAGGACACACTCACAGAGTAAATTTTGTGGCATTAGTGAAACCAGCACCAAGCATATGAAATAGTAGTTTTGCTGACGCGCGCGACACATAACTGCTGAAATGCGGGTACTGGTAATTTAGCTGGAATTTTACAGGCAATGAGGCCCAGTTTCCCTTTACGGTCTCCAAAAAAAACTGAATCTGAAAGAAAAGCTTCCACCAAGAATTGATTATGCGGCTTATCTACTCTAAACTGCAGCCTAATACTCGTTGGGACTCAAATCGCGAAAAAAAAACAAGTAATTTCAGCCTATATGGACAGGCACATTATGAGTTGTAAAGGTTTCTGCCCCTCTCCACCCCTAGCCTGGCTTAGTTCCAGTTTTCACTTCCCACGCGGAAAACGACAAATTCCTTAGATACTTGTTGAGATCTCCGAATTGGTGTTTCCACGCCATTCCATACAAGCCATATCACTTGCTGGAACTAAAGCTGGCGGAACCATGAATTCACATACGCATGCAAACCGTCTGACACTCCGTGGACACACCAAAATAATTACGATCGCGTTCAGACTTCGCGAACTTCGCGATCGGATCGATCGCCTTTACTCGCAATTGGATCGCGCGACCACGAGCGGGAAAGCTTCACCGCCAAACGATGCAGCCGCAACGGCACAATTCAAAATGGCATGCGTGAATGCGGCCCAATTTGATCTCTGCTGTTGCAGCGGCGCGCATTCCGATTGCGCGATCCAATCGCAAGATTGCAGTCTGAACGCGGTCTAATAAGTATACGTAATGATTGCCTTCTTTTGGTGTCATGAATCCAGCAGCTAATTCCCTTTTTTGGATGACCCTAACCTCTAAGTTCCGTTTATTACGCAGCCATTATACTGTAAATGGCTGCGGACGGTGGGGCGTGTCAGACAGCATGAGTGTTTCACGGTGAAAAACTCGTTCTCTGCCAGTCGTTGAAGCACGCGACAGCAGTTGTTGGGAAATGGGTGACACAATGACATGATACACTTGTCATTTTCTCGCTTCAACAGCTGGTGGAGAACGGGTTTGGCGCCGAGCCAAGCTCATCCTGCCTGACAAACTCTACCGTCGAACTACACTATACACACATTCCGATACTAGCGAATGGATGAAGAATCACTTCATGGCGCCTTTCTCACTGATGTCCATTTCTTCTAATACAGTGAACGCAGCGCGACAATGGAACAACCGCAATTGTTGCGAATCCCCGCCCATTCTATCATTGCGGAAGGTGTCCTTCAACTGAAGCGCAGCGGACTCAACAATGTTCAAAAACAGAATTTCCTCAAACATTCTGAATGACCAGGTGTTAGTCAGAACTCATCTATAAAGTATTGTTCCGAGAGTAAGACCAGGTAGAGCCACAAAGCCATAAAAACACACAAAACTCATTGTGAGAGTTGAGATTACTAACCATTAACGTAGGCAACAACATTGTCATCTCGCGAGGACTCGTCCACAACTCGTATTGACACCTTTTTGTTGCATAAATGTGTTCGACAACAGCAAAACTCCATGTTCGGCTTTGGTCGTCGCCTTCCACTCTCCGCAACGCACTGGAATGTATTTTGATTTGAAACGACACCTCTTTGACTGGTGAAATTAGCCACCTTGGATGTTGTAAAAACAACATTTCAAACTCGGTCACACACTGTCTTGAAGCTATCTTACTCTGAACATACTACGATGAATCACTCCACTCAAATGCTTCTAACATCTTACGCTCAACCTTACGATTCATTAAAGGCAGTGGGCGCGAAGACCGGAGGCGGGCGGTTGTCGCCGATGCCATTGGTGGAAGCAGTGAATGGGATGTAGCGAAATGATTTCTCACAGCCTTTTCACCAATGATGCTAGCAACAATAGCCTGTCCCGTCAACCGTGCCATTGCCTTTGAGGGCAAGATCCTCATCCCTTCCCCATTCTATTATACAAGCTTGGCTGACGCGCACTACTGCGCGTATGGTTGAACCTATGGTAATGGTACTGCGCTGACAGGATTCCTGTATTGACCCCGAACACTTCGCCCGATTACAATTTTTTAGAATACGGCCTATCGTTTGCTAATGTCTGGTGCTTATCACATTTCTAAGAAACACTCACCATCCGTTGGAAATAGGACAGCTTAGCGGTTGAAAGACTTTTGATGGTAACATCGATATCATGGTGATATATCCTCACATTTCTCACATCCTAGTACTTCCGTTGAGCAGCTTCCAGGGCTTTTAATTTTCGTCGAAACTCGAGAGCTTAGCGGTCGTAACCATATCGCTAAGGGATAGAATACTTGACTCACGAAGCCTCTAACCATTGTTCCTTGGGCACCGGTGCTGAAGTTTATCAGTTGGTGGGTGGCAGGACGTGATAACAGCTTATCAGCTTATCAGCTGTTATCACGTCCTGCCAC